AGAGGGAGGGGAAGGAAATCAAAATATCAGTTATTAGTATTAATAGTATTGTTTACAGACAGACGGATCTTTTGTGGACAATTAATTTTTGTTGATCCAAGGACCCACCAAATGTGGTTTCTGAATACACAACTTGTTACAGCAAGTAATTTATTACATATAGGAGCAAGGTTTATCCATTTTCTGATTACCAGGGTCAGTTTCTCTGCTGAAAATCCACTATTTTATCTTGAAGTATTACGAAACTTTCAGAATTCCAATACAGTAAGAGGCAAAAAGTAAGATGTTCTGAATTGTCACAAAGAGGATAAAACACATATTTGCATTGTGGAATTTTTTTTAATGGTTAATTGGCTATTATTACAGGACAGTTTTAATGAAATGACTTTTTTTGCTTTTCACTTTAGAACAATGCTTTTTAGTATAGACATTATGTAATGACAAAAGTAAATGACTCATTTTTACATGACTTTTTTGCAATTTTTGTTGATTTTGACAAATAAGTCATTTTTCACCTTTTCCCATAATTTTTAAAGTATTTTTCTTCTGATTTCATCAATTTGAAAAGCATTTTAATGGTACTTCCTTCAAATAATATTTTTGAAATGCTACAATATTCTCCATAGAACTACTGAGTGACCCATTTGATTTCTGGGCTCAGAAACTGTCGTCAGCAGTTGTATGTAATCTATACTTCTGTAATGCCTATGACCATCATTGTCAGTTTATCGTCAGCATTAACTAAAGACATGTTTCCTAGTAAAGAACAGTTCAAACCAAAAGTTTGCAAGCTAATTTTTATTCAACTGACGAAACTACAAATGTCAAGGGTCAGAATGTGCTACTGGTATTGTTGAGACTCGTGACTCGTAGAGCATCAGGTTAAATATTCCTTTTAACAAAAAACTTTTTGGAAAATTATGGAAACCTTTTTATAATATTAATTATAATTTTTCAGATTAAAATGAATGTAAAATGGACTTATCTTCCAAGAGATATAAATGGTTTGAAATGTGCTTTTCTTTGATGTGAATCAAATTTAGTATTTGTTCTAATATACGTAATACATTTTATTAGAAATTAATTATTAAAATTAACTGTAAAAATCAATGTACTTAATAAAAACCACAAAAATATGTTTCATTTAATCATCTGAACAGGTTTGATCAATTTTTTTATGGCATTTTTCTATGTTTGGGGGGTATTTTAAAAACATTTTAAAGTGCATTTTATTGATTATTTTAGACATGTTTTCAGTCATCAACATTTAGTTATTTTAGTTATTATCCAATCTCATAATGTAATGAGTTGTTTTACAATAATTATTTTGTTAATAACAATTTCTTTCAGTAATGTAGTTGTATGGTGAGAAGGATCCAAACAATTTTGATATGTTGAATTTTTTGTGAAAATTCAGAGGTTTGAATTAAAATCATACCCACTTTTACATGAGCACTTTGCTCCAATTGAACAAAACATTTAAAGAAGAACATTTCATTATCACAATTCTAGCGTCTTCTTGTCAAGAAGCTCCCAAAATTAAAAGAACCATTTCAAATTGCATGGTATTCAGTTCAGCCGAACAGATAGCGGATCACCCATCTTGGTGAAAATTCTGAGAACAGTTTATGCGTAAATGATGTTCATACAGAGACTGCTAGACACTTTTTGAAAAAAAAAATTTTGATATCAGCAACTTCCAAATCTTGTATTTCTGGCAAAATTTTGAGATTCATTTTTTTCAACATTGCATTACTCTCTCTATAGAATTGATATGAAAAAGTAAAAATAACACTAAGAATGTATAGTTTTATTTCAGTTCATTTAGCAAAAACTAGATTGCAAGAAGCAAGACTATAATTTGAACAATTCCTCACAGACTAAAATTCAAGCAGCAAATTAATGTTTGAAAATGACTTAATACTTTAATTTTTTTAATATATACCAATCAAGCATTAAATTTGAATTTAAATCAAAAGTCAAGATTTTTAAAATGTAAATTTCAATTTTTTAAAGCATAATATAATTATTTTCAAAATATTTCATCGTCATATGATTTTATCACTAATTTAATATTTTTTTGGAAACTAAAATAAAATTTTTCAACTAATAATATATCAAACAGTGTTGTATAACATTTCAAACCATATAAAGTTGTAAATGGGGGCTGTTTTGGGCACTTATTTTGCTTATCGCTGTTATTTTGTATGAATTACAAAACCATTAAATACACTTATTCCCATTCATATATAATCATTAATCAATAACAACAGAAAAAATAGGCATGTACACTGAAGAGCCCAAAAATTAGTATACCTGCCTATGCAAGCCCGCAGTAGTGCCACAACACTAAGTGGCATGGACTCGAATAATGTCTGAAGTAGTGCTGGAGGTAACCGACACCACGAATCCTGTAGGGCTGTAAGAGTAAGAGCACTCAAGAGTACGAGGGGGTAGAGATCTCTTCTGAACAGCACATTGCAAGGCATCCTAGATATGCTCAATAATGTTCATGTCTGGGGATTTTTGTCAGTGGAAGTGTTTAAATTCAGAAGAGTTTTCCCGGAGCCACTCTCTAGCAATTCTGGACAATGTTCTGCTGGAATTGCCCAAGTCCATTCAAGGCGCACAAATGGACATGAATGGGTGTAGGTGATCTAGATGTATCAGGAGTCACACATCACTCCAACTGCACATGCCCCATACCATCACAGAGCATCCACCAGCTTGAATAGAAATCCCATATCCATAATGCTTCATTGAATGGTGCACATGCTGACACTAGTTGATGGCCCAGCATTGAAATCTGAGCAATTTGCTCAGTTGCAAAAGTTGCAAAAGTTGCACTTCTGTCACATGTAATGATCATCGCATCATTCTCCTCATCGGCCTTGTTCTTGCATTATCTTTTCGAGGCAGCAGGAATGCCAGAGGTTTAAGGCTTTACCACATTTCCAATATTCATGGAACACTCGTGAAATGGTTGAATGGGAAAATCCAAATTTCATCACGACCTTATAGATGCAATCTTCTGCCAATATCTATCTAGCGCCGACAATAACACCATGTTCAAACTCGTATTTTGATTGTAAGATTCTGTTCCAGATCTCTTTATTTCAATATGCAAGGCTATACCAGTTTTTTTGGGTCTTCAGTGCAAATGTACCATTTCACAGACTTCCTAAGTCAATAAACTGCTTCTATAAATTGGTTTAAAACTGTACAATAGGCTACCACTATAATTAAAGGAGTTGTTCCTCATAGTATTTAAACATAAGTATGATTGCAACACCTGTTTACTCAATCAAAGATTTTTCGGAATAGACAGCAAAATCTAGTAATACAATATGTAATTCACTAAATAAGAACATATCTGCAATATTGTAATTTTATAGTGTAATTTTTGTATTTATGTGCTTTTGTAAGAATGTCGTATAACTGGACTTTTATTATTACTAAAGACCTTGTAAATTTGTTCTCTTATACTTTATATTAGACCTGTAATGAAACCATGTGTTGCTGATACAATAACAATAAATAAATAAAAATATATATTAATACTATAAAGAAATGCAAATAAAATTATGATATATTATAATGTTTTAGCACTTCGGCGCAATGGATATGAAAAAAATCTGAGAACAAACCTTCATCCATCCAGTGAATGTCTTGCACGCAGTTCGTGGACCCCACACAAGAGAATGCAGAAGAAGAGATGGAGTATTTATTTCCAGTCCAAGTGCCAATTTATCCATATATGGAGTAGAAGGAGGTAAAAGCAACAACAACCTACACAAAAAACAAAACATTTACACTGCTGAAGACACAGAAATTGATTGATGAAGGTTGACATATGATTGTTTGTGAAGGTGAATGTTGCCAAATTGACATCGTACATTACTTATTGTCATATAGAGTTTAAAATTGGCTATGCCATATTGCCAGTTAGTATTTATCAATCCTCTCACTCTCGTAAGATAGAATGTCAAGTTTGGTCAAGAAGCGTTTTTGATGTTTCTAGGCATTTCTTTGGCTAGGGAGATTTCTAGGCATGTATCATGCAATGATTGTGTTTTGTGCCCAGTGGCTTTTAACTATAATGAGCGAACCCCCAGATATCAAAAATGAAGGCCCACATCAACAAAAACAACTCTCCAAGGTCTTTGATGGCAAGCCAAAAATTACTGTATTACAAGTGCACAACTTACATACAAACCCTCAGCTAATCCAGTACTTACAAGATAAGCATTTTGAGAGTATACCTTTTGTGTCTTAAATTTAAAAAGAAAAAAAATCTTTAGGAATGTCATTCTCTCCAGAACACAATGAAAAACACCATGACTAAATTAATTAACTATCACAAAGAACATGGGGAATAGTTTCAGAGCTTTACAAAGTCAATCATTGGAGAAAAGTTTTCATTTCAAAAAGCGAAATTTCATGAATCACAAAAACAAAGACATTTCCTTTCTGCAGCAAGATGTTGCACAGACTTTTCAAGATAGCAATGTTACTGTCAAAGAAGTGCATGGGCAATTATGCTATTGAATGTCTGGTTCTTCCCACATCATTTGGCAACATTAGGAACAATCCTAACAATTGTAGAGACAAGCATCTGGCCTCTGATGTGTACGATTCAATTCAACATTTGTTCAGATTTTTTATTGCAAAATTAAAAATTAAAAGGACCACAATATGTAACAAAATTATTTAGAAATTACAATACTAATCATATAAAGATATATTTATCACACAAAATCTCTATCATCAATAGGTTTGCAATGTTCATTTCTTGTTTACAATTTTCAAAAATACAATGCATTTTTTCTTTTATTTTTATTGGGACCTGTGCAATTTGTTTAAGCTCATTTGTTTTATCCACAAAATAAATTTAGTTGTTTTTGAGAAAAAATCATTTTTTTATTCATTACAATAACTTCAAACAAAATAACGGAAAACTCTGTAGTTTTTTCAAAAATTGCACAAAACCTCCTTTAAAAGATCAAACTTTTCGAACAGATTTTATTTAAGAAAAAATCAGAGTCATCAATAGTGAATATTTACAATGTTAATTTGCAAGTTTCAAAAATACTGAGTTTAGTGTAAACATATCTTGCACCATTTTTTAAGCATCTAATGCTCTATCTGAAGAAAAAAACTATTGATACAATTTGGAGACAATAATTTTTAAAAAAATATCTATTTCAAAAAATTGTGTGAAAACTATTCATATTTTCAAAAAATTGTACGTGACCTAATTTCAAGATGAACAAATTTTATTAAAGAAAAATCCTTTTATCTTGAATATTGTAGATGTGGGAGGATGCTGAAAAAGTTTTAAACTTCTGTAATTTTAGAAAATTCAGAGATTTCAATGAAAACAAAACATGCATAATTTTTTGAAGTGCTCTACGGTATGCAAGGATAAAGTTTAAACAAAAAAGTTGGGGCCTTTTTTGTGAATATTCTGAAAATATTTTGATTTAACTACCTCCCAAAAACCAAAATATCCATTTGAATTTTGCAGTGCCCCAAATTCACTCAGATCAGGAAAAATCAAATTTATCAATCGTCAAGAGTGAGTAATCACTACCCCAGACCACAAATTGATAAAGTGAATCCGTGTGCCTATTCATTTTTTCAACACCACAGTACTAGTTTTCCTATTGAAAAATTACTGATTTCCGCTGCAGCATCACAAAAGTTATCTTTATTATGAAAGTTAAAACTTACCTTAGTGGAGTAGCTGCATCATGCAAAGCATAGTCATTCTTGTTGACATTCATAGATCACCTAATGATTGTTATCAATATAAAATTTTATGAAGGACCCACATGAAACAACAGTTTGTCTGGCACTTTTCTGATGCATTTACAGTGGGTCTTAATCTTACTCCACTAATGTGCAATTCACCATTTGCACATTAGTGGAGTTATTCTCTACTGGAATCATATGGATTCAAAACAGACTATATAATCATCATTCGAGCCAGCCTGGTTAATTGTTTTTCTGGTCAACTATAAGATGAATATTTGCTTTGAAGTTAAATTATTATTAGTTCCCAGAGAGAGGAGAGTCGAGTTGGAAGGGGGAAGAGCAGTGATGGAAGAAATCTACATAAAAAAAAAGTACTTACCGCCAGCACAGTGTGAAACAATACTGGGTGGCACACAGTCCAGTAAAACTTAGTTTCTCAGTACGCTTAAAGTTACCACTGCACTGATTGGTAACATTTAATACATCAATCAAAGCATCAACCAGAAGTGGGTACTTAAGTTTGTCAGGAGTACCCAAGATAAAATTGCAGGCCTGCAAATTATTCACAAGAATCAGTCATTTTCAATTTGAATTGCCAAGAATATTCATACTAAGAAACATGTTCTATTGCGTGATCATTTCAGTACAAATTGCGCATTTTCACTGCAATGGAAATGCAATTGACAAATTAGGCGATGCGATGACTGAGATTGCTAAGGCAGTAGTGACGTAGCGATCTTGGACCGAAGTATCGCGGATGCAGACAAGGAGTTCAATTCAGCATCTCTTTTTTAGGGGTACAAATCCATGTGAGTTTTGCAAGTTTCAAGTGTACCACACAATCACATCTGGGTCCACTCTAGTTCCCATTATTTATAAATGATCCATGTTTTAGATTAGATAATGCTGAACCTCTACTCCCTCCGCTGCACACACCTCCTGCCCCACCTATTCTGCAGGATCACCCAGTCACACTTCCTCCATCTCCCCTGCATGCCCCATCTGGGATGCCACGGCCGTCCTGATTATTACTCCCACCCCACCCATCCAGTCCCTTCTGCTCGATCTGTACCTCCCACTCATCACACTTCGTCCATCTTCCCCACCAACCTTAACTACTCTTGTTGGAATATTTATATGACGTAACCACATACAGTCATAACTACATAGCTGAATTATTTTTGAGAAAGTCCAAATTCATGTCCCCAACAGTACAGTAGTTTTTAAGCTTTCTTTGAACTTGTATATGTTCATTTCATTCATGAATGTACTCAAGAATTTCAAATTCATGTGGTCTATAAAATGAAGTATAAATACGCTGCCTGCATTTGTCAATGCCGTACTTGCTTATACATAGGCTACGTCCGTATATAAGCTGCACTAATGACCTTCGACACAATAATTTCAAGAAAAAGGTCTCCTGTATAAGCTGCAGTAAATCTCGCCGAACGGTACAGGAATCGAGCAGCCAGAAGGAAGTTGACGATGATAAGAATGTGAGGTGGTGGATTCAAGACAAAACTGCGTTGGAAAATAACAATTGCAAGAAATGCAAATATCCAACAGTTAAAGAAGAATTTTTAGATTACATTTGAGAATTTTCAGAGATCAGCTGCAGTTCAAGGCCAGCAAAATCGCCAGGAAACTTTGTATCCCCTTTACCGAATTTCAAGCGAACTACAGGTCGATGTGGCTACGGCTAGCCAAGAGAAGCAAGTTCTCTGCTCCCATAAGAACTAGGGGAGCAGACAAGCAACACAGCACAGTTATCCTGGCAATAAAGGCAGACAGGCACAAGTTGCCACCATACATCGTTTTCATACGGAATATTATGTCGAAAGTGAAATTTCTCCCCGGGATAATAATGCATCATTGATGCACTATTATCCAGTCCATTATCCATCCAGTCCAAAGTCCATGACGCATGGACTTCACACTTCCATCAGAGAAAATACTAAGTACAAAAATAGTTCATAGTGTTAGCAATACCAAGACTTAAGTACTTATACATGTCAGCAGAATGTTTCTCAAAGGTATTGTGATTAATGGCTAACTAAAATTTTAATTTTCATTAACTATATTTCTCTTGGCTAGTATCACAGCAGTTTTTGCCCTCATGATTTCCCATGCAATAAGGACAAATAATATCATTATTGCACTTCTTTGCTCTATAACCATATTCATTACACTTGAAACATCCATTTAAATCGAAATCCTCACACAGCTCATCGATATATAATGTTTTGTCGTTCATAACCTTTTGGAACAATTCAGGTGTAATATCAGCATGAATCATTTGTGTATATTTGTTTTTCACATTCTGAATGTAGTGAACTTTGAGTCTTCCATCCACACAATTGGTCAAAGCTGATTCAGCACAATCATTTTCGAAGTGGTGTCCCTCATCAACAATCTTAACATGTGGATTTTTCAACATTGTTTCCACTTTACAATCAGTAATAAAAACCTTATTTAGCTCAGAAATGATGATCATCATTATTAGATTCATGATAATGAAAAGTTGATATTCTATAAACAATATTTATAATAGCTCTAATTTTATTACATTGAATTACTTCTGAACTGCGATTTTATTTACATTCCTGTGCATTCCTTAAAATTTATACACAATACATATTTTAGCAAGGATAGCACAGAGAAGTTTACTCACCAGACCATCTAGTTTTGGAGTGTCTTGGTTGTTGATTTCTACTTGTGTAAGGCTATAAAAGCGAGGTTTCATTGAAAATTCATCTTGGGGTCCAAATTTCCGATACACATCCTCAATTTCTGGCCATGCACAGTAGATTCGAGAAGCTACTCGTGATCCATCTTTATTATCAACAGGATCACTCACCATACTTGTGGCGCTGAATAAATTCCACTGAACCTAGAAACATAAAAATATGGTGAAAAATGTAAATACGCACAAATTGTTCATATAATATAAACACAAAATTAATTATTCCAATAGTCATACTGAGGAAGGATAAGCACACCTTTATATTAGATTCTTCAATGAGATCCATAAGAATTTCAAATTTTAAGGGTAAACACACACACAACTAATGAGAGACTTTCTTTACTTTTAACCCATGATCTGAAATATTATTACCAAAATGTTCATGGCTTGAGAATGAAACTCTAGATTTGCTTGCAATGCAGTCACTACATTTGTTATCTTTGTTGAGACCTTCCTGAATCCTTTCTACTCCAAAAGTGAACTTCGTCTAGAGAATTATGAAGTTTTACTATGTAATGCTTCACCTAGCCAATGCAACTGTGGAGATAATGTACTGATAGCTGTTGAGAATTCCATCCAGTGCTCCTTGATTAATGAGAACAGTCCTCATGTGGAACAAATTAATGTCAAAGTATCAGGAGATAATGGTAATTAATTTATTGGTCCTGTTTAGTACCATAATGATCGTAGAGTTTCAATATATTGTTTGAAATGTATTGATTGGAACACTTGATTTTCAGACCTTGGTAATGAATTTAATTTTAAAATATTTTTGACATTGTTTAATTATTAATTACTCAATATATAGCCTCGCATATTAACAGATCTATTTTATATAAATACTCGATTAAAAGCACTCCATTATGGATTGTGGCGTCGTGGCTAAACGTTTCCAAACCAGTCAGGCTGGGGGAAAATTCTAATCCTCCTGGTGCAAGCAAGGACATGCACATCAACAGGCACGAGCTGGGAAGCTCTCAGGAAAAGGGTGCGGTTGGAATGCTCATCCCAGATTTGCATGTGGAGGCAACACCAACGGGCTTATCTGTACCCACAATAGAGGGACGCCAGGGAAAAGGTAGCGCCTGGAAAGACCTGCTCTAAAATAAACTATTGAGAAAGGTTAAGAGTGAGTTAAGATTTTTGCATACAACCCCTAGAGAAGGCTGGGAAATGAGCCTTCAGGATGCCAAGAGTATGGTGCCAGAAGTGGAGATGAGAGGGGAAAGGCGAGCCCATTGGGTATATAAAACAGCGTCGTCAGCACTCATATGTTGGGTCTCGAAAGACTGTGTGATATCTCCGGTGCTCTCAAGCACGCAGTCTTCCAGACGGAGAGCGGTTTGGCATCAGGTCATGTGGTTACAGGGAACTTAGCGTTTGACAGCATTGCACCATGCTTTGCTCACCTGCATTAGAGCAGTGGTACTGGGTTGTAGGAGTAGGTACGGTTGCGAGATTTTCGCTAAGGAGGAAAAAGTTTGCCAAAAGTTTAATTCAAATGTGTGTATATTTAACTATTTTATGTTTTTTCTGTAGATATATGTAAATATTTCCCTTCAAACAGTTGTCTGTGCACCTTCATTCCAGTACGTCAATATACAGTTTTGTCTACTCGGACAAAATTACTTACTTGTTCAAGAAGTGCAGGAGGAGCATCATACAAGTGCTTCATGAGATATTCCAGGAGTAGAAGTAAGCGTGCCAAATGCAATAGTTGTACATCCCGCAGAGGTGTGCTAAGAACTTCCGCACAGCGAATGACACCACCTGCTGTTAATAGTAATACCGATTTCTTTTGCATCAAGTTCAGAGAGTGAAAGAGAAAAAGGAGAAGCTGGGCATGTTCCACATTAAGATCTGCAACATCAACAAAACTTTTGGTTAAAAAAAACGTCAGATCTAAATAACAAAAAAGACATTCACAACAATTATGAAATCTTTAAACACAACCAAATTCATATGCATATATAATGAATACTACTAATGAGCCTTGATAACACTTGTAAGAAACAAACATTTTTTTAATTTATTAATTTATTTATAATGACAGACTTCCATCCAATATACAAATACAGATACAAAAATTGAGAAAAATAGGACTCATGAATATCACGATAACAATACAAATATTATAATCACTCATAACGTAAAATACAAGTATGCAATTCAGTAAAACATCATTCTGCCAAGTCATTCTAGTGACTGGGTTATTTGCGGGGTAGGTATTTGTATAGGTCACCATGGAAAAAGTATTTTTATTTCTAGATCAAATTGTAGAGACTGTAAAATTCAATTCTTCGAGTACCAGTGGGCGATCAATTCCACTATTTATTAACTTAAACACAAACAAAATATCATTCAATTTACAAAGAGACGAAATAGAGGGCGTGTTTTAGGTAGAAGAAGAGATGATAAACATTATCAGTGCAAGGGTCGCGAATGCCTAAATGTGTTGCAGCAATTCTGAAGAACTTATGCTATACAGATTCAATTTTAGCAGAATGAATATGAAAACAGAGATGAACAGAGACCAACCACAAATGCAAACATTAAAATATGTTCCACAAGCATTGTATGTAATGTTTTTAAAAAGTTGACCGTGTTGAGTTCAGCACGTTTTTTGGACAAAACCAACGATTTTGTTAGCTTTGTTAGTTGAGTAGCCAATATGGTTAACCAACAAATTTTACAGTCAAAGTATAAACTCAGATTCCGAATTACAGAGACACATTCGAGAAGTAATTATTTAATTACAGTGTGTTCGTAATAAGCTACTGATCAGAAACAAGAGAATGTAATAATTTGCTTTTGGCAGTATTTAATACAAGATCATTTTCTTTACACCATTTAGCTAATGCATTTAGCGCTAATTATAAGGATTGTTAGTCATTTATGCATGTGATCGACCTGAAAGAGTATACAATCATCTGCAAACACAAGCATTTCTACATCTGTAACCACAAGTTAGATGTCGTTTATAAATAGAATAAAGAGTAGCAGTCCCAGAAGAGATCACTGTGGGACTCCAGGCAGAACTGTGAACCCTTCTGAAGTGATGTTCTCATTTTTAATAAATTGTGTTCAGTTATCTGTAAACTAAAGTAGGAGAGGACCAGAAAAACCAAAAGCTTTTCTGAAATCTGTATAAATACTGTCAAACTGGTGTTTATTTTCGAAGGCATTAAGAATGTACTGGATATAATACACCAAATTTGACTATTTCATCTACTCATATAACCAAATTGCCTAATAGCGAGGTAGGGAAATATTTTACACTTATTGTCAATAAGGTTCTGAGCCTGGGGATTTATATTGCACAACACATTACTAGTTGAAACAGTAAAATTATGTAACAGTTGGTTAGGCCAATTTTGGAACATGCTTCTGTTGATCACAATACTTGAAAAAATCAGTTCATCATTTAAAAGTGTCAAATATAAGCTTCTTTGTATCAAGTGTTTTTGAAATAATATACCTCATCACAGATACCATCATGATTATTCACAATTATAAATTATGTAAGTTCCCACTTCTTGTGGAGATCACTACCTGTCTCTTGTATATTTACACGAATTCCATTTTAGTGATTTTGATTGTAGCGACCTTTTGTACACAATTGGTCTTTTGGTATCTCATAGGACCTCTAGAAACAACCTTATGTTCTTTGTCAAAATGGGCAAAACCGATTCTTTAATATTGACACCTGCAATTGCTTAAGAACTACTGCAAACTCATATTTTTCTGTTAGAGATTACACCAATATTTCTTTTTCACGTATTTTGCACTTTAAAGAAAGTTTTCTAATTTTGTTATTGTCAAACTTGTGGGATTAATGAACTTCTGTAATTTTGTAATGGTGATCATTTTATCAAAGGAAAAAACCCGTGAATGAAAGAAAGAATAAATGAATAAATAAACATATATTTAAGCCAGTTGAATTTGGAATTGCAATGGAAGCAGCTAGAAGAATAGTACTATTGAAATGTGCAGCTATGGTGTCCACATCATTGAAGGGACCATCTGAAAGGTCAACATAGACTGAAATGTCAATCACTCAACACACTGCACAATCAAATGGGGTCAAGCAAACGAGAGGAGAGCGGAGGGGAAAGATGAAGTGAGGCAACAAGATGGAAAAGTAGAGGAAAGAAAAAAAATCGTCAAGTCAAATTTTATGGGCCTTCAACACTCTAGAAAAATAAAAAATTCAGAAATAATTATAAAGGTAATTTTCTTTCATGCTTACCTTCATTTTCTAGTTCAAACGTAGTAGGTGGATTACACACATTTTCCACAAGGGTGTTGACCAATCGATGCCAAATGCTAATACACGCCACTTCCTTTTCCTGTTGTGCCTTCAACACCAACACCTTGAGGAGGAAAACATTGAGATTATGTCATATCATTTTAAACACACTATCCTGTTTTGATGAGAGAAAATACAGTTTTTCAGCACTAAAGTACCAAATAATTGCAGAATGCAGAACAATACAATCCCCAAGCAAGTGATAAGTTTAAGATACAAAATTTAATTTAATAAAAGTAGAATCTACAAAGATATCAGAATGAAAATAACCTGAGCAAGCACAGCAAGGGTACGCGGATACACTTGCAATGGCCATGTATTATTTACATCTTGAGACCAGGGACTGACACCCAGATGATTTAGTAAGGTGTCTTGTAGGCCTTCAGCAAGTACTCCACGAGCCAGAAGATTGTGTGAGTATCGTGTAAGTGCTTGAGAAAATTCACTGTAGAGAGTGCCCAACATAGCACCGAAGTACACAGAGATGGTACCTATATAAAAATGAATGAAAATATATTAAAGAGACACATTGATAAGTTAATGAAAAAAATACATTAAATATTGGCTTTACAGTTTGACATTTCAAAAATACAAAAATAAGAGGAATCAATTTGAGCCAATATTGCACAAGAGTTTTTGTCTTCTATGCAGCTAAACTGTTTGACACACATTTCAATAATTCACTTCAACTCTGCAATTTATTTGTTATTCTATCCTCTGCATATTCACCCTCAAATGTTGAGAACTTATGAGAAATAATAATATTGAATTGTTAGGCTTGCTCTCTTCCACTAGAAAAATAAATCACACTATTATATCATCACTGCATTTTATGTTGAACAAACCTGTCTCAGTTCTTGCAGTTTCTCGATCTAAATCTCGAATAATAGCTGCCAAGATCACCATTTGTTGTTCTGCCAAGCCCCCTCGTACATATCGCTGCACATATGGCGATTCACTACGCAGCAGATGCTTGTTCATAAATTGGAAGATTTGTGATGCCAGCAAAATATACTGAAAAGAAGATCACAAAAGAAACTTTAAGTAAAACTTGGTTGTTAGAACCAATGAATAATAGACTGCAAAAGCTTTTCACATTGCCTTTTTTAGGTTTTAAGTTAAAGAGGAAAAAATGAAACACATTAGAAATTAAATGATTAAGCGAATCCAGGTTCAAAAATCAATTCTAGATGAATTGGAAACATGAAAGCAATGGTTTGGTCACATGAAAAGGCTTGTTTGTGGGCCCAGGAAGTAAGTAGTTTCCATTAGAAGAGAAAGGGGTAGACCTAGAGAGCAATGACAGAATCATGTTTTTAAAAATATGCTAAGAAGAGGTCTAGAAGAGAATGATTCTTCTCAGTACAACTCACAGAGATTATTACAAGTAGTGAATGATAAAAGTTTACAACAAAAGAACACCTCAAAATTCAAGTCGGTGATGTATGACTACCGGACTTGGCATATGCAAGGCACTCGTTGTGCAAGTTTTCAGATACCTAAATAGGGTCTTGCCTTCGGGCACTGTAGCTTTTATCACCTGGATGGACAATGTAGCAACTGATCAGAGAGCGTGATTCAGGCAATGAGGCGAGTAGAGACGCATATATCACTCACCTCTGTCCATCGCTTTCGCAAACTTACTAGTCAGAAGATTCAAAGGAGAAACTTAGATTATGAGTAAGTGTCCTAAATGTATATTTGCTGATTGGATGTCACATGCTTGTTTAAATTAGAATAATAAGACCCTCGCATCATCACCCAATCCAGGACTACCTGCCCCTGAGATCTCATTCAGCCATCAACCTCGTAGATCACGTCAGCATAGCACACTGTGCATAACCCTTGTGCGTGCGTGTGTGTGTATTGTGGCGTTAGGGGATTGTGCACGCTCGTTTTGTGTGCAATCCTGTTGGGGTGATTTTAATTGTGTCAAGGGGTTTCAAACCTTTCCCTCGCACCCTGAAGATCCTGCTCGCCTAGAATTTTTTTTTTAAAGCTGCGCTTCACGAGCAAATCTTGATAACCCTGCTTACGGTTCAAATGCGCTGCCTACTGTGAAGGTTGGTAAGTTGTTTGTGTGGGGGTAGGTGGGTTTGGCTAGAATATATATATAAAATAATCTGTCATATACAAGTTTTGACTGAAGAATATGCAAGTTTATTTCATTTTTGTCTAATTTTCAATGTCATTGGGTGCTGTAAAGTAATGTGTTGTTTTTCAATTTGTCATTATGGTCCATTATGGTCTATATTTTATTTTCATGTATTTGTGTGGTATTCGTTTTCCTTTGTTTTTATTTGTTGTTTTGTTGTATGTTCGTGGTTTTCTTGTCGGCTGCTACGATGGGTCTGATCTCGAATTTAATGTGGCACGAAGCATGTCTGACAATGGGTACACCCTGGCTGACGGATGTTTAAACATCCACACAGAATCATTAACTTCACCGTTCAGGGCAGCCCTTCCCCTGAACAAATGCCAGCACCCACCCCCCCCCCCCCCAAAACCAGCCCACCCACCACCCCAACACAGAAGATTTCCCCCCTCCCTCTAATTCACAAATTCCCAGATGCCAAGACAGTCCCCAGAGCAGTACAAGGCAGGCAATATTGGAATCGGTTATTGTGCTAATGCAGCGAACATAGAAATTATTTTTCAGCACAATTCAACATCCCTTGTAACCATTCTGTAGCACCCATTATTCAGGAACCATAATATCGACGAGAAATTTTGAAAATTTAAACACTCAGTGAAAGTAAATAAAAATACACATAACATTTTCCTTCAATTCATCGTAACTTCACGCCATGAGGTTCCCTTTTTCCTGGAACAATGGAACCATTTCTCTCAGATGTCTGTTTTTCCCAGCACCAATCTGTACCTTTCGCCAGTTGTCCTGGAGATACCTGGCCTCCTGGAGGGGTTTTCAGGAGCCCAAAGTCTCTCAACCATAAACCAAGAATCTGGTTCACATGTCATCATGCTAAAAGCATCAAAGGTAAAAATACACATAATATCTCAGATTCATAATACGCAGTTTGTTGCATATGAAAGGTTGCCAATTACATTTTTCTGTAACTTATACTGGTCATTGCATTTCTCTACAATGGATAGAACATATTTTTCTTGCTGGCAAGCTGATAGTCTCATTTGAAATATACTGCCATGACATGTGTTTTTAATGTAATACTACTCCTCACCAATCAAATCCGTAATCGAGAGGGTAGGTCTTGGTTTGATCAACTCATAATTAAAAAGATAAAGATATTGGTCATTATCAAACAAGACAGCCGTATTCACTATAGCAATTCTGCTTATTGAAATTTTAAGCTCTTTGATAATCAAAACTGGTATCTCTACGAGATCAAGGCGGACACGCAGCTGTTAATTTTGAAGTTCGATCTCATTCTCTTCAGACACGAATATCTGAATCACAAAGTAGTTAGTGGAACTATGTGGGCTATCATAACAACTACTTAATAACTGAATAAACCAAAAAATGTACAATTATTTTTAAAATTCAATCACGCCGACAGAAAAATCGAAATCATTTACGAGATCATTTTTCCAATATTCTTTGAATAAGGATATGAAATTTACCATCATCACCAGAACTTTCATCTGAAACAGCTGAAGTCATCCTCATAAAGTTGTTGAATCAGATGTGCTGAACGTAATCCCCTTCCTGCGTGATGTTTCTGAATTCTCTTCAGGGTGCAAGCCTGGATGATGTTTTATTAATTATATGTTTTTTTTTAGAATAAATAGTGGCAGCAACAAACTGGTTAAACAGTATCTCTATACAACGATGTATTAAGTTACACAATAATTCAGTTTGGTGGAGTAATGATTGCATTAACTTGAATCACAATTGTAAGATCAGAGATTGTACGTTCATTATTTACGTGTATGACATACACATAACATCATTTAGTATTTCACAAAATTAAAACTATATCAGGCTATTCTGAAGGTGCTCAGACTTTCATTTGAATGCATTTCATACTTTAAAGAGTATTCCACAAGCGCGGTTTACAATTAAGAGAGAATAATGCCTTATTTTAGTTCTTTTTTCATCAGTCTGTAAGTCTAGAATTCAGAGGCCTCTTGCACAAAAGTTTGTTAAATTTAGGAAATGTTAAGTAATGCCATTCAAAATTTAAAACATTACTACCTATCACCTCCGATATTTCTGTTCTAATGTCGAAAGTGACATTCACAGCATCTTCCTTGAATGATCAAATTATATTATTCTCCTTGAGATCACGGTTATCTGTCTCTTGGCCACCTTTTTCAAAAAGTTTTTTGTATTGAGAAAAGGAGACCAAAACTGCATTAGGAGTACTAAAAGTGTATGCCTAACGTATGCTTATAGATTCACTTGCCACAGATCCGATACCTCAGAGGTTTGCATGAGAATGCATCTCCGATTAGGTATAGTAGTTCATTGGTTTCTTTGGATCATGGTGGCAATTTGCTTAACCCTTTTAAATTGTAAGTGATACTAAATCTCAGATTATTTTTGTTTATCGGTAGAATCAATGAATGTGATTTCCAACGTATGGCTGAGATTAGCATTTAAAGGAAGCAACAAAATTCTGATTATCTTACAGTTTGAAGCATCTGAATATACTTTCAAGTGGTTTTAAGAAA